TATATTGTTAAATGATAAAATCGTTAATAAGGAAATAGTCAGTAATGAAACTGGTAGTGATGAATTAGTTAGTGAGAAAATTGTTAGTCCGGAAACGCTTGGTGATAAAGTTGGTAGTGATGAGATAGTTAGAAATAAAATAATTAGTGGTGAAATAGTTAGAAATGAAGTGATTGGGATCGAAACTGTTAGTGATGAGATAGTTAGTTATGGAGAGCTTAAGCTCGAACCTGATAGTGAAGAAGTTGTTAGTGATGAAATTATCTATAATCAAACCGGGATTGAAAAAGTGATTATAGAAGATATAGGAAACAGTGCAGTTAAAATTAATAATCATGTTAATGAAGCGCCAGTGAATAGCGAAATCATGGGAGTGTTAGAAGAGAATTTTGAGAAGGATATCTTAACAATAAGTTGGGAAGATTCTAACAAAAGAGAAAATATATATATTTTAAGTGAAGATATTGATTACAGCACAAAGTGTGAATTTGAAAATTTATTTGAAAATACTTATGTAAAAGCGAAAAGGCCAAATCAGCCAAAATTAAGACATGAGTTAAGCATAAGATTAGAAAACGACAAAGTATTTAATTGTACACCTAGGCGGTTATCTTATATGGAAAAAGAAAAGTTGCAAGAATTATTAGACGACTATTTAAAAGATGGAATCATTAGGCCAAGTTGTTCAGAGTATGCATCACCTATAGTACTAGTGAAGAAAAAAACTGGAGACATGAGGTTATGTATTGATTTTAGAAGACTGAACAAAATTATATGTAGAGACAACTACCCGCTACCATTGATCGACGATTTATTAGACAGACTATGCGGAAAAACAGTATTTTCAAAGTTGGATCTAAAAAACGGGTATTTTCATGTTTTTGTTAATGAGCAATCTATTAAATACACTTCATTTGTTACCCCTTTAGGACAATATGAATTTCTTAGGATGCCCATGGGTTTAAAAACTGCGCCACATGTATTTCAAAGATTTGTTAATAACATATTTTGTGATATGATAAAAGATAATAAGGTAATTGTTTACATGGATGATATTATGATAGCAAGTACAAACATAAAGGAACACATGGAGACCTTAAAGGAAGTGTTTATAAGACTGGTGCAAAACAAATTAGAGTTGAAATTAGATAAGTGTGAATTTTTTAAAAGCAGCGTTAAATATTTAGGATTTGTGGTGGATAGTAAAGGCGTTAGGGCTGATGAAAAAGGGTTAGAAGCGGTTAAATCCTTTCCAATACCAAACAAAATTCAGGGAGTACAAAGTTTCCTAGGGTTATGCTCCTACTTCAGGAGGTTCATTTTAAACTTTTCTATATTAGCTAAACCCTTATATGATTTATTGAAAAAAGATAAGAAATTCAAGTTTGGAGAAGAGGAGTTTAAGTGTTTTAATATGTTAAAAGATAAATTGTTAGAGGCGCCAGTACTATCAATATATAATTACAAAGAAGAAATAGAACTACATTGTGATGCCAGCGCAGTGGGATTTGGGGCTGTTTTATTTCAAAAAAAAGAAGATAGGAAATTACACCCGATTTTTTATTTTTCTAAAAGAACAACCGAAGTAGAGTCTAAATATCATAGTTTTGAGTTAGAAACGCTAGCCATCATTTACGCATTACGCAGATTTCGTATATATCTGCAGGGAAAACGATTTAAAATAATGACAGATTGCAACTCTTTAACTTTAACGCTTAACAAAATAGATTTAAATCCGAGAATTGCTAGATGGGCGTTAGAACTACAAAATTACGATTTTGAGTTAGTGCATAGATCGGGCAAGCAAATGCAACATGTGGATGCGTTAAGCAGATGTTATGAGGACATTTTAGTTATTGAATCCAATAGTTTTGAGGACAATTTAGTTATTTGCCAAAGCAAAGATGACAAACTGGTAGATATTAGAAAGATGTTAGAAAAAGAAGAGCACAAGCTATTCGAAATGAGAAATGGGGTCATTTACAGAAAAACAAATGATGGCAGATTAGTTTTTTATGTACCAAAGGATATGGAAGAACATGTACTTTACAAATATCATGATGAGTTGGGACATGCTGGGAGAGATAAGATGATCGATGCCATTGGAAAGAGTTACTGGTTCCCATATATTAAGGAAAAAGCAATAAAGCATATAGGGAATTGTTTAAAATGCATTGCCTTCGCCCCCAAGACGGGTAAGAGTGAAGGACTATTACATAGCATACCGAAAGGAAACAAACCGTGGGAGATGATCCATATAGACCATTATGGACCAATTAATGCAGGAAGGGCTAATAAATATATATTGGCGGTGGTTGACGGATTTTCAAAATTTGTTAGACTATATACAGCAAAGACAACAAGTACGAAAGAAGCGATTAAGGCATTAAAAGATTATTTCAGAGCGTATAGTAGACCTAAGTTCATTGTATCGGACAGAGGGAGTTGTTTTACTGCAAAAGAGTTTGATGAATTTTTAAAAAATGAGGGAGTAACGCATATTAAAATAGCAACGGGTTGTCCGCAAGCAAATGGTCAGGTGGAAAGGTTGAATAGAGACTTGGGTCCGATGATGGCAAAAATGGCGGAGCCAGAAAATGGTTTACATTGGGATGTTATTATAGAAAATGTTGAATATGCAATAAACAACACACAACACAAAAGCATAAAGAAATTTCCAAGCGAAATGTTATTCGGATTACAACAGAAAGGAAAAGTTGTTGATGAATTAAAAGAAAAATTAGAAGAGTTTACACAGGTGAACACGTGTGATAAAAGAAATTTAGAAAATATAAGAAAGAGTGGAGAAATATATCAAAAAGAAGCTCAAATCAGAAATGAAGAGCGGATTAATAAAAAGAAGAAAGTATCAGTAGAATATAAAATAGGTGACTATGTCATGGTAAAAAATTTTGATAGCACACCAGGAGTTTCAAAAAAGTTAATACCAAGATATAAAGGGCCTTATAGTATAGAAAAGATTTTAAAAAATGATAGATACTTGTTAAAGGATGTAGAAGGCTTTCAATTATCTCGCAACCCGTACGTTGGTATCTGGAATAGCCAAAACTTTAAGCATTGGATGCGAAAATAGGCAATAAGCATTAGTTATAAAGATAGATACACATATAAAAGACAGAGATCGGGAGCTCTCTTTGTCAGGATGGCCGAGTTGTAATAGGATAAGAGCATCATTGGTAACCCTAGCCAGGGTATTATAGTGTCACTATCTATGTTAATTATAACAGTACGATAAGTAAATATCGATAAAGAAAAGCGGCTGCAGAGAAGAAGTGGAAGGCAGTCTCTCTACAGTACTAGCAGTAAGAAGACGTGTTGTTAAAAATAAAAAGGCAACCCGAACATAAGTTAAATCAACGAAGAAAATCATACTATTACAGTATTTAGAAGAAAGTGCTCTTCTATCGATTGATTTCTGATCTAACTCAATCTTATTGAAAACACTTGTTGTAAAATATAATCATCTTCCTAATTTTCCAGAAATCTCGTTTATGTTTTATTTCGGAAGTTGATCATTAATTGTAGTGTCCTTCAATCCTGTAATCGACCACTAATCAAACTTTTGCCTTTTTTGGTACTATCTATAAGGAAATACAAAGAATGCATGTTATAGTAAAGGGAAAATTCATGTATGCAAACTATCTGATCTTGTCAAAAGAGTTATTTAAGTGCAGTTATGTCATGGTTATAATGGACGATGGTATATGAAGGAAATGTTTCCTCATATTTATTGACGACCGAGTGCTAATAAGAATCTTTAGCGTATTGCAGTAAATTTTGTTCGAAACCCTTGCCGAGGGTATTATAATTTTGTCGTGAAATATGATAGGCATAGAAGGACACATCTTTTTGAACAGTATCAACAGCCGAGCTACAGCTATCTCCGTCTGTTCGTCTGACTGCTTCTATGCAAACTAGTCTCCCAGTTTTAAAACTATCATCATGAAACTTTCCAGAAGTTAGAAGTCGCAGTACAAACGCCAGAACCAGCTGGATCGGATACTATTTGCGACCCTAATTATTTAGTCATGGATAACAATAACTCTGCGAAAAATATATACCAAGCAGGAGACCCTGAAAATCTAAAAGCAGGTACTAATCACAATCAACACCATTCTTTATGAGCAGATACAATTAAGAGATTATAAGAGAAGGACGACACAAAAATCAGTACAGAAACAAACATATCAAAGACATCTAATTTTAAATTGTTGATTAATTGGAACTATAGCTCGGTCGAATTTATACCTGACAAAACTAACTACACAGATGCGCAAACAATAATAAGCCCAAATCATATAATAAATTAGGAAGACACTGTTGAAATATAATTGGCATTACAAATGACAAAGTTAAATGTAAATTACACCTTGTAACTCGGATAAAAAGTGATATATGATAAGATATTCTAGGTCACAAATATGCCTTTCAGAATACTATGGTGTATCAAACTGCGCGCTCGTTTCCTTTGGAAATAAATAAAAAGTTGCAGAACAAGTTTGTTCCCCGTTTCAAATTCAAATATAAATCCAACCTATCCACCGCCACATAGAACGAACGTACACATAGCACGGCGTACGATACAATCCTTATTAAAATTATAGTTGTGTATATGCATTTTGGTGTATGTTAGCTCATTTCTTTCATTTGTGCTTTTATTTTAATGCAAGTTTTAATAGCGGTGTTCTTAAATGATTTTGATTAAATTAAAAAAAAAAAAACCTGGTTAAAAACCCAAATAAAATTATCTAAAATTATTAGTACAAGGCCTAATCCGCTGGCTTGTCTAAATCACCGGGTCACCGCTCAACTGTTTTTATTATTGATAAATTATTACGTGGTTCCTGTGGACTATAATGGTAATCTAAATAAATTTAATTGGTCTGTGACACTTTCCATCTTAATTTATAATATAAGTTTTCTTTCCTGTTAATTTCGTATTATTTTTTATTGAGTAAAATATTTTTTCAACAGGCGCACCTTAAAGCAGTCCATCGAGAACTCCAATATTAAAAACCGATTAGCTGAAACTCAAAAAGCCAATGAAGCACTTAAACGAATGTTATCGCACATGCCAACAGTGGAAGTCAAACATAAACTTGTTGTACAACAGGTATGGTTGAATTTTATGACTATATCGTACTTATATATGATTTTAATCCATTAGCGTATTAATCGACAAATGGCCAAAAAGCTAAAAACTCTGGCGGCGGAAAGATCCCTTGATGAGGTTGAACTAAATGTTCGGCAATGTACTATTAAAAAATATGCAGAGCAACTTCATGGGATGAGGGAATTGGCTCTCACATATGCCACAAACACAGATGGTGTTGAAATGGGAAATAATATATTAATGGAACATGATGAAGAAATACAGATTATGACCATCGAGAAGCAGAAGTTCATAGAATGTGCTCCATACTCTGAAGCTGATACTAACACTTCATTAATATGTGAAAGAACTTAAAAGGACTAAAAACTATTTATAAGTGATATTGTTAAAATTTGTAATTTATATTTTAATAAAAGTAAGTTAGAGTTAACATTTTATTACAGAAGTAAGAAAATATAGTATATGAAAGAAATTAGAATATAAATAAGAACATGAACACCATAATTATTTCAGAGGTAGTAATCATACACCAATTCTCATTGACAAAAAAGGTGAAACAAGGATATTAACTAAGCTCAGAATGCGAAGAAGAATGTAATTTTTATAATAATTTTCTTGGTTTGATTCATTTTTTTAAATAAATGTTTATCAAAAATAAATACGTTGATATTTATTGATTATCAAACGAAACTGAGTATACAACTCTCTTGTGTAAAATCGTCTAAATTGCAGTTCATCGAGAATTCAAAAATTAAGAACACATATAATAGCCTCAATACAAGGATTTCTAATATCATCGCTGACGTTCTTAATATCTAAGAAGAAAGGTGTTAATAGAGAATGTAGTTGTTATACCTAAAAATTAATAACAATGTTATTACTTAAGAAAATACAAAAGAAGACAAATAAAAAATAAAAATTATATAGGGCGCTAAGTAGATAGGATAATGAGATAGCGATGGGAAATCACCGACCCGGTAGGGGAGATTTTAAGCCTGTCAGCTGGGAATGGTATGTGATTTTCCTGAAAAAAACAACAAGAGAATACCTAATACAATCTATTATTTTCTTTGCATGGGACACGAAAATAATTGTGCATAGCGTAATGCGCTGTGCAACTAGGTAGGAATAAGAGGCAATAATTCCTAGAAAGTCTGAACGGAGAAGAGAATTAAAGAAACCCTTAAAAAGAGGACTCTATGTCAACTCAGCTGTAAATCCTCCTAGTCCATGTCCAGATCGATATCGAAATCCTGCTTTTTGAGCAAACTGGGTAAATAATAAAATCTAGAGTCATCAAACTTGATATGTTCCTTTTTTGAATAGTATATATAACAACATAGTTATAAGCTTAAAAATAAAAAGACTTTATTTCACGGGAGTGAATTTGTATCAGTTTTTTAAGTTGAATATCTGGATTAAGACTGAAGAAAAAAAGTGGCTTACGCTATATTTAAAGATAAATAAAAATTGGAGTACGTAAATCTTTGCAAAGGGTATATTGTATTTGTGCGAAATGTATGTAACAGGCAGCACGAAGCATCTCCGACCCCTCAGTTGCGAGTTTGAACCCTGCAACGGGAACTTACTTTTATTCCCTGAACCCATTGAAAATGGGTATAAGGGTTTATTGTATTTGTGCAAAATCCAAATGTATGAAACAGGCAGAAGGAAGCATCTCCGACCCTATAAAGTATATATATTCTTGATCAGCATCAAAAGCCGAGTCGATCTAGCCATGTCCGTCTGTCTGTCCGTCCGTTCGTCCGTATGTATAAAGGCAAAGATCATAGAACCTACATGAGCTAGAGACTTGAAATTTTAGATGTAGGTGCTCCTAGTGCCTGGCCCATTTTAGTAAATAATAATAGCTAGAGTCACCAAACTTGACATATAGCTTCTAAAATGGAATATATATATGCATTTAATGTTGGAAGAAGAGGGTTCAGGGTGTCCCTTAGCCGGCAGCTCCCGACTAGAACGTCTTACTTTTTTTTTGTTTTTTGCTTTTGTGGCTGTTGAGTAGAATCGATAGAAAGTAATGTAGTTGCCAGTTCAAGCCCAAGGGAACTTTTTTTTTTTAATTTATTTGGTGTTGGAATAAGAGGGTTCAGAGTATTCCCTAGTCGGGAGCTCCCGACTAGAACCTCTTACTTGTTCATAAATTATTGTTGACATTATTTGAGCTTGGCTGCATAGGGCATTCTACCCTTATCATTTTCGCTGCTGTTAGCATATTTTGGCTTGCTATTGTTATGATTATTCTATTTGTAAATATACAGTTGGTTATACCATGTAATGCAGCGTCAGAATAACAGTGGCTCAAAATTCTGTTGGTGTGGATATGTCACTCGTCCCTACTAAAAATAAATCGTGTTCTCATGCGTGTAGAGTATATAAAAAAGGTAAGTATGATTAAAAAAATATTAGTTAATTACTTGTATACAATTTTGGTAACATACTTCAGTATTTTTGTTCAGTTTCAATTTCAATTTTAACTAGTGGTTGTACAGCGTGCTGATCAATCTCATTTAGTTTCTTAATAAATATTCGTTTGGATTAATAGATTAATTGATTAATTGATTAATTGATTAATTGATTAATAGATTACCTGATTA